TGTGCGCCCTGGCTGCGCCCGTCCCATATAGCATATATATAGAGTTGAATGATCTTCACATACACGAGAACCAAGTGGAATATCGAAAGACTGATGTGATTGGCTGAGGCAGTCAGACCAGACAAAAAAGGGTCTGTTAAACCGTTATTAACTTAAATGGTAGGTTTTAGACAACAATTGATACAAAAAAGCACATAAGATTTAATGATATGAAATTACGATTATTCTATTTTAAAAAAATCATATTTTGGCTTCGATGTCCTTTACAAATATATGGCCTTAATATTTTATTTTGAATATTTTTAGTTCTATTCAATAAAAAAAAATCACTCGTGGCCGCAGACTTTGAAAATCAAGCCACTTTTACCCAAACCCCTTTACACTTTAATTACTCGAAAAACGTAAGATTTCATGTTATATTGATAAACAAAAAAAAATGCTAATCGAGATATACTACTATAATTAACAACCAAATAAGTTCATAAAGTTAATATTTAATCAGACATCTATAATATTTTGCGAAAGTTTTCGAATCTTCTTTAAATTATATGCGTAGTTAGCTATTTATTGCTTTTTTAAGATTACTAATATACTTACCTGAGTGACCAACTTTATTACTGTAAAAAAAATTTCAGCAGTCACATTTTTTAGAAGAAATCCTTTTTAAATCCTATTTTTAATACTTACAAACTATTTTTGCATGTTTTATGGATTTGTATGTTTTTGTTTATCAATATAACATGAAATCTTACGTTTTTCGAGTAATTAAAGTGTAATTTTTAATAAATAGCTCAAAATTATACATATAGATTATAAAAAATTCGGATTCGAGTTTTTTTCATTATTAATTTGCAGTTTCTGAGAACATTTACCATAGTAGTGCATATTTTTTTTATACCATCAGAAAGTAGAGATTTTAACAAACAAAAAACTCACCAACTGTTTTAAAAAAGCAGATATTTTGATGTGAGAATTTTCAATTAAAAATTAGCGTGCTTTTTCGATATTAAGTCAAAATAAGGTGAAAAAATGAATATTTTAAATCAAAAAAATTACTTGTATGTTTGGGACATACAAAGGTAAGTTTCATTAAATTTCGTAAAAAAAATATTTTTATTTGCAAAATATAAAAATTAAAAACCAAAAACTCGGTTATTCGATTTTTTCACGTAAATTTTGAGGTTATATGAAAAAAGTGTCGACACAAAAGTTTTAGATCTTTTTATTACCTACAACTTCGCCATTTAACTTTTTTTCATAAGACTTGCAGTTTTACCGGAAATCGAGATTAACCGTTTTTACCCTTAAAAACTCACCCCCTCCCCCTTCCCGACCTCAGATCGCCCGTAATTTATTTTTCCTTTTATTTTTGGTTATATTCTGTACCTTTTCCAATGGGTTTGATCCTACTATAATTTTCTTTGATCTCAAAAATTATCGATCCTGGTCTAATGTATGTGTTTAGCAGGAAGAAATTGGTATCGACTTCAAATATTATATCAGTCGGTAAATCTTATTTCCAGTTTTATTGAAGTCGGTTCTATTTTTTATTAAAAACTATTGTTTTTAGTGTAATACAGAATCCGCTAGGTACTGGTTGGAAATTTCACACGAGTAGGTCGATAGGAAGATTGCGCTTACACGCGCTCTTCCTATCGAACTATGCACGAGAAACCGTTGGACACTGCTAGTCTATACTAATATTATAAAGAGGAAATATTTGATTGTTTGTTTGTTTTGAATAGGCTCCGAAAGTACTGAACCGATTTGATTCTTACACATTTAGAATCCAACATTATTCCCGATAAACATGGACTAGAGCATTTTGAAAAAAGTGAGGGGTTCCGTTTTTTTAGAATATGTAACCCAATGTGTGTAAAAAATACCAATAAATAACCTTTTAACGCGTACGCTGCGGAAGTCATTGACAATAGAGCAAAGTTGGACATTATGCTGTTGCGGACGTTTTTTTATTGAAACTTTTAAAGGGGAACAACATTTATGTCATACATGATTTTTATGTAACTTTAACCGATTACGCAGCACACATGGAAGCTCACAAATGGAATATTTTTACCCGATTTTGCAATAATTTTCATCGATGTACAAGTAGTTTTTGAGATCATCTCGGGCAAACATACATACTGGTTAAACTGAGAACATCCATTTTGAAACCTGTTAAAAAATAGAAGCTTTCTTAAGAGGCAATCATCGACTGTGATTTTTGCGTAAATTGGCGTTCTTAATCTCGGAAACAAATATACATTAACAATTTTGAACTATTGAATAGTGCAGAATAACTATTGGCCTAGTTCGTAGCGGCCTCGCTTTTGGTAAATTTTGCTTAACTTTTTGATTAAATCCAAAATTGTAGAGAAAGATTTTCATAAAATGCGCGAAGGCACTTTTTTGAGCTCCTGCATTGAACTACTGTTCTAAGCAAATTAAATTAAAAAAATGAGAATGTTATCTCTTATATAGTCGTATACTTAGTTCGTAGTGGCCTTAGAATTTTGAAATATCTTTGATTTAATATAGAAAAAAACTTATTCTAAACCTAAAAATCTTCGCAAATCGCTTAAAGTTAATTGCGATTTACTCCTATTTGCGATAATATTACTAAGCAAAATTTATACCAGAACAATCGTTACTTCATGAGAAATAAAGATTTTATAATTTTAAAGCATGAATTTATTCAATTATTTCAATTAATACGATAAAATACAACTGCAAAATTACTACAAAATGCGATGCGCCGGTCGTCCGAACTCAGTACTGCGCGAGCGCTCCTCAGCCAAATGTCTAATTTTTTCACATCTTTTGCGCCATAAGAGTCAGAGTATAGTGCGACCAACAAGTTTTGATCAGGTAAGTATAAGTCTTTGTTTTATATGGAATCTACATAGCATTGTGTTCAATTATTCTTTTAAATTAATATTTATTTTATTATTTTTGGCATACCATACATATATAATATTAACAAATAATAAAAATGTAAACGGGCCAATTTTGCATTTTTTTTAAATTGTCTTCTTATGATTTTGATGAAATTTTGTTTTTGTATTGCTATTCGTCCTCTGTAATAAATATTATTTTGAAGTTAGGAATAACTAATTTGGAACCATAGCAGCCCAGCCAAACTGTAAGAGATACAAATGTAGACACAATGAGTATTTTGTAATGACCTAAAAATCGAATGTCTGGTACACCTGATGTGAAACTCTATCAACCCTGCTAAAGTATAAGAGATATTTAGCACTAATCATTTATAATGTCAGTTTCAGAATGAATAACTTTTCTGCCAAGAAAACATTATTATTTCCGATGGATAAAGAAAATATCCCGACATTATCACTACTGTATTATTGTAATGATAATTAATTGATTTTTGACACAGCAATCAAATGTAGGTCAACAACTACATATTATTTTTCTATTTAAGATGTAATAAGTGTATAGGTAATCACATGCATATGTCCTGCAGTTGTGTTTTTTGTAATAATGTACACAGGTACTTATTTTTTTTTGTTTTCTATTTGCTATCTAGTATCCGTGTAATTGGGAGTAGTCATGCTCTCTTAAAAGTCCTTCGGCGGTGTTATGTGAGGCGGATCGTTACGTTCCCTAAAAGATGGTTGAGCGAAGCGATGGCTGGTTCATGCGTCATGCTGGTTAATGGGTGCTGCCAGCGGAGATAGGTCTGCTCTTGCTACATTAAATGGGGTCCCAAGGAGCTTCAATGGCGACCTCGAACCGGGAAGCGCAGTGTCGGTAGACCCCTCACGAGGTGGAGTGACGACATCAAGCGAGTCAGGGGGACCTACTGGATGCGGAGAACGCAGGATCGTTTCTTATGGAAATCCCTTGAGGAGGCCTTTGCCCAGCAGTGGACGTCCGTCGGCTGATAATGATATCGTTATATTTGACTGTAATCGTACTTTTTTATTATGTCTTAAGTGTCCTACACAGCGTTCTTAAAGTATGTGTTAAATAATTATTTTTAAAGTGTTAGTATTTTTTTATATATTTTATTTTTGTTTGTAACGGAAAATGACTTCATGAATTATCTTATATTGAAGTCATTTTTAAATTTGATGGCTTTGTATATAATGGCAGGGAGAAAAAGAGCCCTTGCTGAGTTTCTTGCCGGTTCTTCTCAGTAAAAGGTCTCCCGCCGTATATTTGCGAACCGGTGGCATAGCATTTCGTCATTCACAAATACTTGTAACAGCCTAGACTGAATAAATGATATTGAGTTAGAGTTTGATTCGTTACAAGAAAAACGTTTTATTTTTTTTACATTTCTGACATCTGTGAGTTACTCGTAACAGGGTATTCTTATTGGCCACCTCATAGCAGGATACCGCGGTGGCTAAGAGTAATATACCGTTATAATATCACTAACTGACAAATGTCAAGAACGCATTCTCTCAGTGGACAGGTTGTAATATGATGAATCTGAATTAAGCTCACGACTGTTGCTTTTTCACACAAAATCCATCAGATCGATTTGATTGAAATTTGGCAAATAGGTAGTTCCGACTTGGGGCGTTTTATACTGTCATGTAAATAATCAAACATATTAGTAATATATATCTATAATAATATATAAATACTAATAAATATCTAATCTTTCATTTTAATCTAAAACGAAAAACATAAAAAATAAATTTTGTTTTGAACAAATATCATCTGTCTTATTTATGGTATCATCTTCATTTAATCTGTTTATACACATATGAGAACCTCCATGGCACTCTAAAAATGTGCGGGTATAGCTATAACGAATTAGTACATAGAAATACTAAAAATATACAAAACTCGGGAAAAAGTATCAAAATCGCTTGGTCGTAGGTTCAACACAGTATTGTAAACTCGTGACCTTCAATGAGTTGTCGGGAACGCTTCAAATACCCATTCTCGCAGAGTGCAGTTTTGTAATAGGGCTCTTAATAAATATAACAGGTTTTCGACAATTTCTTGTCCTATACTTTAAGATGATAAAATGAAAGAATAAAAACAGTTTTAAGGAAAATAATATTTCTTTTATTACATTTTTTACCTACATTGTTACCAATACCTACTTATTTGAGAAAATCTTCACAACTTTATTTTTGTAAAATCAAAAATCTTAATTCTGTAACTATGGCATTATGTCAATACATTTTAGGTCCCTCCCTATGTGTTTTTGTCATTAGAAAGGAAATGCTTGAAAGTCAAAATCTAGTTGTCAAAAGGTACAAACAATACCATGTCCTCTTATTTTTTGTGTTAGTGGCGTTCTACCAAAATAAATCAGTAAATAATTATGGCATTATCAAGGAACATACTGTGCAACATTGTACTCTGATTTTGATAAACTTGTACATGTTTTGACAAAAATATTCATCGCTTGCGCTCTGGTACATTATGAATGGCTGCCTCCATGACTGATGAGCTGACTGTGCAGAACCATTCTTAACACAATCAATCATATAGACCACAACCATCTGCGATTGCATTCCTGTCCTCTCTATAGACGGTGATACTCCAAACCACGTCAACTTTTCAGCTTATTAGCTGGCGTTACTTACCTGAAAAAAGCAGTAAGTATAAGTAATATTGATTGGTGAACCTCTACACCTTAAAATACATGGTGAAAGAAGTGATAACAAGTACATAGTATAATTTATAAACTAAGGTAAGGCAATTAGAAATCGCTATCTTATGAAAATCGTGCAATACAGAAAGGGAAGCAGTATAAATGTTTGTTATTAAAGGTATCATTGTTATGAGGTCATGACGCTGGAATATGAGCGTTTATCAATCTCACAAGATAATATGATGTGTTGTGTCATCCATTCTAAGCGAATTTTGAAGAATTTCTTCAAAATTCGCATAATATAAAAAAATACATTTGGTATCAAGAGGGTCGGTAGTGCAGTGATTAGAGCTTTCGATCTGCGGTCGTGAAAGCGAAGTAACTTTCGCAATAGACGGTCACAAGATCGATGATCATAAATTTACTTTCTCGATTTCTTTCGATCTTCGGATAGCATGTAAACACGTTGGTCTCGGCTAGGATACATTTGAGGCCCAAGCACGAATTTTGACAGCGCCGTAGCCGAATCACATCGGCAAAGTTTCTATAAAAACTAAGAAGCGCCCCAACCGGACGTAAAAACAGACTTGCTCTTTCTATACAAATTTTGACGATGATTACCCACCATTGTGTACAGGGCCCGTGTATTGGGCCAATCTCCCTATGCCACTGGAAAATCCTGTGCCCCAAAACATGAATGAACAGTGAACAGGGTGCAGAAGAAACGAAGGGGTTTAATTAAATAGTCATAATTTATTTATTTTTGAATCATTTTTTTTTCATTAATATTGTACACTTGTACAAATGGGGAATTTAGTTAATTTAAATATGAAAAATAACGTCGTGTAAGTGGTGCCCATTCTCGGCTTCGTAAAGTTGCGCTGTTATGGGACATTTTCAACATACCTACGCAATATTCGAGGAACTGCGATTTTAATTGACCACCGCGTTCGCAGGGTTCCTCCTTTGGAGGTATTTAAAAGAACGTGTGTACTTGAATAAGCCAGAGACCATACCCCAACTAAAAAATAATATTCGGGGAGATATTCGAGCGATAACTCCTGAAATCTTGAGAAAAGTCATGGAAAACGTGTAAAAGAGCGCAACTTTGCGAAGCTAAGGATGGGCATCCTTGCCCAATGGAATGGGCCCATCTTCATGATCCCTCTGGTGCCTGTATGTGTAAAATGAAGTAGGACTTAGAATTTTTCAGAGTGGTGATATCCACATGATACCCCCTTATTTGATGGAAATGGGATGTAAGGGCGACATGGAACAACTTTATATGGGACACTTTTTGTATAACTGAATTTGTCAACACTGAAACACAATGGTAATGGTCTGCCCTATCCCTAGTGTTTAGGGCCCGGAATGCACGTCGTTACATACAAAATATTCAAACTAGGCGCACACTACTCTTATTATTGCAAAATGAAAAAAACCCTACCGTTTGGTTCAGATTCTTAACTAATAATTATTTTTCAAAGTACCTATACAGTTAATTGAAATTGTGTTTATTTCTTCAGCTTGACTCCAACAGAAACATTGCAAGTGCAATTTGTAAATGCAAGGCGAAATGCGAAATGTAAGCACATCTGCGCTTTAGTTATATGTAAATTCTCTCGTCAAATTCAAAACTAGCGATGCCCAACAATAGAGTTAACCATTGTCAAGATGGTTTGGTAAGTAGTTATTATTCTTTGCAAAGTAATAAAATTTTGCGCTATTTCATTTATCTTCATTTTTGGAGTTTACTCCTTAAGAATCGATTTGCATAAGGGGCCCGGTATAAGAAAAATGTGAAGAGTAAAATCTATCGATGAATGACCTCGTTACGTTTTTGGTGCGCATCCTATGTCGCGCAACTTTGACAAACAAAGATGACGGATTGACATTAATAAAAATTTTAAAATCTGAACTGAATTTAGATATTGTTTCTGATAGAGCAATGGGGACAACGAGGTATGGTACAACCATTGATGCGGTATTTTCAAGATTCATGAACCACGTATCTACGAACGTCCATGTGTCTTATTTTAGTTACCATAAACCACTTGTCACTGTAATTAATAATGCAGACAATGTTGATTTAATTAATATTTAAAAAAAATATAATAGACTGATAATAAAAATTACATAATTTATCAACATTCCTAATGATATATTTATGCACATCTGAAATTGACTATTGTAAAAAGTTTAATGTAAAATATTTCGTCGATTAGTTATAATAACTGTATATGAAATGAATAAATATATATTTATATATGTATATTATTTTCATTAATTTGTTAATTTACCCTTTCATACAGTATCAATCTTATTTAACTTAAGGAGTAAACTCCAGTCGTGCTGCGGATTTTTTTTTGTGCATGTACTTATTGGAACATCCAGAAATGCAACAATGCATTATGATTAGTTAGAATTATAATTTACACTAATAAAATTAATTCTGTTTACTTGTTACAAATGTCAATGTCAACTATTAATATAGTACAAGATTCGGATTGGCGACGCCAGTTGTCAGCACCTACGTTGTGCACAATACCTATAAATTCTGTAATTTCCAGGACTTTGTTTCACCGCATGACTACCTAAGGAAGAGATGCGCTGACCCGCCGGATGGAAGGACCCCTCTACTTTTCCTTGACTGACCACCATGATAGCACACCCGATACCAACTGGCATGACTTAATACTCCATTAACACATGGATCTGTTTGCGAACCAATGGCATGTTTTTTTTACTTTTACAGCACTACAAGGGCAGTACATGCCAGACTTAGCTTATATAATGTCAAGTGGACATACCTGTTGATCTTTTTCTATGGATTAAATCTAGTTTTTGTGAAATCGAAATTTTATCAATGTTGCTGGACGTGGACCGTACTCCCAAAATATTGAATATTTAAGATTTACGAATAACTACGAAGCATTATTTTTTATCGATATCTGGTTAGGTACATCACTTTTTTGACATTTCCTACATAGAGTTTGTTTATAAAGTCATGACATGAATGTTTGAGGAACTAACATTATTCATGTGTCTGGCAACACCAAACTTATGTACATCAGCTGTCATCGAGTTTAAGTTGAGGAACAGTTTTCCTTTGGTATTTTTCATTGTTTGAATTAAACTGTAATAAATTAAGACGAAACTACGCAGAAAGGTATAAAAATGAGTCAAGTAAATCGGAGTGGCACGCGGGAAGTGATTTTTGGAGTTTACTCCTTAAGAATCGATTTGCATATATAAGGGGCCCGGTATGAGAAAATTGTGAGCAGTAAAATCTACTGAACAAATGACCTCGTTACGTTTTTGTGCGTAACCTCATCTGCGCACCCTTCACTTTTAGCCATGGCAACGGATAAAAAACATTAAGTTTCACAAATGTCAATAAAATAAATAAACTAAAAATAGATAAAATCGGAGCAAAATTAATGAAAACAAATAAATAACAGAATATAGAGAAATGCCATAGGTCCTGCCTCGAAGGGTGCTGGCGCCGCACAGTGGGCTGAAAATCGGCTTTCATAGACTTAGGGATTTCAATTTGCAAGTGCTGTATTTTTTGCTGGTTATCGCTTCTATTAGTGATCACTATACACAAAAAAGATATCAGAGTTAATTCTGCACAAAAATGAGGATATTATATTTTTTTTACGAATAATTTGTATGAAGGTAGTATGAAAAATAGAATTATCTCTTAAACGGCAAGGAAAACCGTAATATCCTTACAGGTGATTATAGTACTATTTATTTATGGTTTTTTGACATAATTCACATAACGGTTTTCAATGCCGTTTTTTTTTAAAAAAATCATCAAAATATTTTTATATAATATCAAACCTTCCGATCCTTTTAGTGTTAATGTTAAGAACATCCGTATGAGGAATGTTATCGATCCAAAAATTAAGAATGTATAAAACAAGAAATTACATAAAAAAACTCTTTTTATTGATTATAACTAAAAAAGAGGTAACAAAAACCGTATTGAAGTACTTTAAATACAATAATACAAATTTTCAGTTCAATTAATTTAAGAAAGAAATAAACTTATTGGTACAATAAAAAATCAACTAATAAATAAAGAAATAATACAATAAACAAACCATACAATGAACAATAAATAACAACAAAACATGAAATAATATCATAAGTATTATAAATCTTCCCTGTCTACTTAGTGTTTAGTGCTACTTATTTATGATTTTTTAGCGTTCTTCACGTAACGGTTATCAATGCCGCTTTTTTTAAAAAAAAAAACATTCCGCTTGGTGTCTATATTGGGAGAGAGAGAGACTTTTAACAGCATGACATAAATATGCATCACCTATATTCTCGAAGGAGTAGAGGTTTATGTACACTCACACTATGTATATTTGAACTAGATATTTATCAACATAAAATGAGTTTGAAATACGACTATAAGACCAAATAACAAATGGTTTAGTCTTACAATGGTGTCGATTCTGGCAGCATTCTCTAAACTTAAAACTAAATTTAATATCAGTCTGTCCTTTTTATTCTATATAGAGAATGACAAGGATACACTGTTGTCAAATTTAAGTTTAGCTTTTGAGAATCATGCCAGAATCGACACCAATGAGTCTGAAAATAAGTTATTGAATAATTATAATCATTTAGTCTTTAAATAAGTCTGAATAGGTGAAACAATGATTTGCAATATTACGAAACAATGTTAATTATAGACTACATTCACCTTCTTCCGATAATTAAGCTAATTTGTTAATTAGTTTTGCTATTATGAGTTCTATGGAACATTGTGACGATTGTATATTATCATTAGGAAATCTTTTTTAGCTTTAATGAGGGTAGTTAACTAATTATCGACGTTTTGCTATAAAAGGGATAATATTTTGCTTTATAATTTAGATTGTTCACAACTGTGTAACTGCTAATACTTAATCTTGCGAATAACTCTGCGACTACAAAATCTTAGAATGGAAAGTTTAATAACCAATTTGGACTTCTTTGTTCTTCTAAAAAGTGAGAGTACTTCATTTAATCATGAAGCATTGTTTGGTGCAATCGTATCACGCATAGGCGATTGCCTTTCTGCCGAAGATCGTGTAACTCTCAAAGAATTTTGTCGGAGATTCACGCGAGCAGCTTTACAAAGATGGCAAAAATCAAACCGATTCCTTGATAATTTCAGAAGACTGTACGGAAATTGGTTGCAAGCAAATATTGATTGGCCAAGTTGTGTGCAAACTCTATTTAATCAAGAACCAACTATTGATGAGATACCAAGAGCACACTCTGTCTCTCAAGAACCGTCGACGTCATCGTCTGTTGGAACAATGACAAAAAGGTCACGAAAACCATTCGAAGAGCTGGGAAGCAAACAGAAAAAGAGAAGATCTGACGATGAATCGGTATATGCAGCTGCAGCACGTTTAAGAGAAGAAGGGCATCCTCATATTGCATCTGTGATCGAATATATGATGAAAAATCCTGAAGCAGCCGTTAAAATTAATGAATCGCTTATAAAACCAGTGAAAAAAGTTATATTTAAACCAGAGAAAGCGCTTGGATTGTTTGTTTCACTAAAACTGTCAAAGTGGCAATATATTACGTTGCGAGAAGCAGCCATTCGAGAAGGTGCTAAGGATATTTATCCATCCTACCATAAACTACAACAAACTAAGCTTGATTGCTACCCTCCGAAGCAATCAGTGTCAGTTACGGATTCATCAGCCAGGATTACACTTCAAGCTTTACTCGACATTACTGTGATGAGGATCATTCAAAGTCTTTCTGAAGATGTGCAAAATAAGCAGCTAAACCTGCTATCGAAGTGGGGATTTGATGGTGCCTCCAACCAAAGAAGATACAAGCAGAAAATGGAGAGTGAGCAAGATGATTCAAGCATTTTCATGACCTCCTTGGTGCCACTAAAACTGACAGATGGAGATAAAACTGTATGGATGAACCCAAAACCATGCTCAGCTTTGTATTGTCGTCCAGTTCAGTTCACTTTTGTAAAGGAGAGCGAAGCAGTTGTCATTGATCACAAAAGACAAATGGATGATGAAATTAAGGCCCTTATCCCCACAGAGTGCAGTAATAGCAACAAGGTGACCCATCAACTAATGATGACTATGATCGATGCTAAAGTCTGCACGTACCTTTCCGAAGCCAGATCAAATGCATCGTGCTACCTGTGCCTAGCAAAACCTACAGAAATGAATCGCTTAGATGCTGTAACATCAAAGAATGTATGTTCTGACTTATACGAATTTGGCTTGTCATCCCTACACGCTCGCATAAATTGCATGGAATGTCTGTTACACATTGCGTACAGGCTCGACTTCAAACAGTGGGCAGCGAGAAGTAACGAGCACAAAGAAATGTTGCAGACTAGAAAAAAAATTATTCAAAATAAATTCAAAAATGAGCTCAATTTGTTGATTGATATAGTTAAACAAGGCTCGGGAACTACGAATGACGGGAATACTGCAAGAAAGTTTTTCGAGTCTCCCAATAAAACTGCAGCTATTACCGGGCTGGATGAAGAGCTAATTAAAAGATTTGCAGTGATTTTGCAAGCAATAACATCTGGCGAGAAGATCGACGTAATGAAATTTAGAGATTTTGCCCGTAAAACAGCAGATTGGTACGTGGAATTATATAACTGGTACTATATGTCGTCAACCGTACATAAATTATTAATACACAGTGCTGATATAATCGAAAAAAATGATATCGTGCCAATTGGGACTCTCTCAGAAGAAGCCTCAGAGTCTAGAAATAAAGATTTTAGGAGGTTCCGGGACCATCATTCGCAGAAAAGAAGCAGGCAAGATTCTAATCAAGATATCTTAAACATGCTTCTTGTTTCTTCGGATCCTTTCCTAAGTGCACAAAGGCCTAAATTAGATGCCAAGAAAAAGCAGATGTTTTTTGCTGAAACTCTCGACTTAATTCAGATTCAGGAAACTGAGTTCGAGTTTCTAGATATATCCAATCTAAATTCTGACTCAGAATTGGAGACCGATAACGAGAGTGACAGGGAAGATTTATAATTCTTATTATAATTTTTCATGTTTTGTTGTTATTTATTGTTCATTGTATGGTTTGTTTATTGTATTATTTCTTTATTTATTAGTTGATTGTTTATTGTACCAATTAGTTTATTTCTTTCTTAAATTAATTGATCTTAAAATTTGTATTATTGTATTTAAAGTACTTAAATACGGTTTTTGTTACCTCTTTTTTAGTTATAATCAATAAAAAGAGTTTATTTTATATAATTTCTTGTTTTATACATTCTTAATTTTTGGATCGATAACATTCCTCATACGGATGTTCTTAACATTAACACTAAAAGGATCGGAAGGTTTGATATTATATAAAAATATTTTGATGATTTTTAAAAGAAAAACGGCATTGAAAACCGTTATGTGAATTATGTCAAAAAACCATAAATAAATAGTACTATAATCACCTGTAAGGATATTACGGTTTTCCTTGCCGTTTAAGAGATAATTCTATTTTTCATACTACCTTCATACAAACTATTCGTAAAAAAAATATAATTCCCTCATTTTTGTGCAGAATTAACTCGGATATCGTTTTTGCGTATAGTGATCACTAATAGAAGCGATATCCAGCAAAAAAATACAGCACTTGCAAATTGAAATCCCTAAGTCTATGAAAGCCAATTTTCAGCCCACTGTGCGCCGTACTGATCGGCGAGTAGTTGAGCACTGGTATATATTGCATTTTACGGGCGACCGTCGCCACGCCAGAAATCGGTTTCACGTATGTGCGCCAAAAGATGTTTCACATCAAAAAGAGAGATATCCATAGTTCTGTCAACACAAGTCATATACTAATATAAAGTTGAGCTCTTCTAGTATGGTAACTCTTTTGACCGACTTCCAAGAAAGGAGGAGGTTGTCGAAATTATTAAAATCTGAACTGAATTTAGATATTGTTTCTGATAGAGCAATGGGGACAACGAGGTATGGTACAACCATTGATGCGGTTTTTTCAAGATTCGTGATCCACGTATCTACGAACGTCCATGTGTCTTATTATTGTACGTAAAAGATTTAGTGACATAATATCTTTTTATAACCATTTTTGTTAATTATTAAGATAATATTATATTTTAAATAAAAAAATAATTATATGTAAACTCCAGTCGTGCGTCGGAGCTCACAATTTTTATTAAAGTTTTCCAGCGATGTGTCGAAGACTACCAAGCTGGACGAATTTTGTGGGATGTCGATGATGTTTATGGGCGAACAGCATCTATGACGGGTATGTAATCGTGTAACTATTTGTTTGTAATCTGCCTAAAGTTACAAATTTACTCAATTTACGATTTTGAGACCAAAAAAGGCATTGTTTACATTGCACATTTTTACACATTTAGATTGACATTGTAAATAGGTAATATTGTAGTACGACCATTTCTTTTGATACGTTATTATGGTTCAACTCGGTCAGGTTTTCTACCAATTTTGAATTAATTGCTTCATGTCAATAAGTTATTGTTTCTATTCCGTTACATATTTTTTTACTTTTTTTCAGGAAAATCAGAGAGTCGGATAGTCAACGAAGGTTTTAAGAATGATGGAAAGTTTGAAACTCCTGGGAAAACAGGCAAGGCCGACCAAGGAAAGAAATGGTCACATAAAGAACCATGGCCAGATGCTTTTAGTGAAGATACCTATCACTAATTTTACTAACTGCACATTTACATATTGTTTCTCTAAATAAACTTTTTATATACTATAAAATGATTTTTAGTATTATTTTCTTAACAAGTGTGTTAAAAACGTCGTATATTGATACTTGTGTGTATTGATGATTACCTAACGGCTCTGGTCTCAATGGCACCTCAGCGGTCACCAACATTACACACTTTTACACTATAAAGTACTATTTTATCTATAATAATTTTATTCTGATTCAATTAAATACGCTTGGCTAAACTTTTTATAAGCATGGCTACCTACTATATATAAAACAGAAACAAAATACGACTGTATAGTGTGTCTTGATTACCTATTTTACTTGAATGAACTGCTAGTATCAAAATCATTTTGGTCCAACTGTATAGGGTTGCTACATGCATACTAGAGGCGCCATCATTTAATGTCACGACTTTATAGACAAACTGTATGTTAGTAGTATGTTTTTTTTTATTATGGTTGGTATAAAAAGCATACTTAATTCTGTAAATAATGGTAGTATGCAAGTGACGACTCTTAAGGATTACTTGCTCAGTGCCTTATACTGTCTCTGTCTTCTTTTTATCAAACAAAGGTGACACCATCATTTTTAGGCCGGGTTTAACTTTTCGGCCCACCGCAAAATCGAGTGCGGGTAGAGCACTCAGCGGGAACTATGAGCCGTCTCCTTCTTCCCTCTCTTTCTCTGAGTGCTATGAAGTAATCAATAGGCCTTCTGGAATTTTAGAGAACCTTGCCAGAATAAGACCCAATATGTAAGTAGATAATTATAGAACTTACTTTCTGTCATAGGAACGATCTCTCGATCTGGACCGCGAGCGACGGTGATCACGCGAACGGCGGCGCCGGGAGCGGGAATGTGATTGAGAACAACTTCTATCTTTGTTCTTATTCTTGTCCTTCTGCTGTTCTTCCTAAAAAGGTTTTGTTTAAGTTATAGGCCGAGAAAAAAACGACAATAGACATGTAGACCACAACGAAAGTGGCCCCTGTCAGAACAAAAAAAGGTTTGGAAAAGAACTGGCCATATGCTAGTTGGGCTTACGAAGTCCGAAGGGTTTTGCACCAACGTCAAAAAATATACATTATTAACTTAAACCGTGAATTAAGTGTGTTAAACTTCAAATTTAAAGTAAAAGTATCACACAGTCTGATGCTTTGACCAAGTGGATGTTTTTCTAGTAAAATTTTCTTCAGTATTAAAAATAAATAGTAGTGTTTTAAAGTAGTAAGTAAATGTATGACCATAATAACTGGCCTATACTTAAAACCCTATACCTCAATAAAATTTTACTAGAAAAAAAATGTCATCATCCATGCTGATACTTTCAGACGAGTGAACTTTTTTCTTGTACAATTTTGTTTTGATATAAGTAATAATTAAAATAAAATTGATACCTACCTAATAAAATGGATGGGCTGAGTAACAAAAACGTACCATTCTTTTCTTTATTTTCTCTTTCTTCTGTTGAGTGAGGCACTCAGGAATTCCATCCTTACTTGATTGAGCGCTTAACAACAGTTCCCATAACTCGCCCATAAAAATTCGTGCATTCGTCACGTTCAAGAAACCAGTCAGATTGATCTGCATTTTCTTAGGGCATGGGAACTAACAAGTGATGTTTCAGGATCCAGAAAAAAATCAATTATTATAGCACTCACACCTTCAATCATCTTTATTCATTCAACAATAGTGTGAATATTACAATGAACAGAAAAAATGCCACTTGTTTAAACTCCCTAGGTTATTTCCAATAGAAAAGTTAAAGGGCTGAAATTATTAGTCATACCAATGGGGAAAACTTCAAACTAATTTTGTGCTTACTCTGAAATATTAGAAAACCAATAAAATCATTAATATATAATATGTATTACATATGTACCGTACATACATAAGATATATTAATGATGACTGATATCACTAATACCAATATATTAGTAGTGATATCAGAGGCATTGCTGGTATAGCTTTTTTACAGAAAGAGTAATTAAACATGAGTGTTGGTTATGAGTGACTTGGTTATGAAATACAAATTTAGTAGGCTTAAACTCTACAAGAGGTGAAGAAGGAATAAATTTAATTTATTATAATCACCCTTTCCTCGAGTTGGTTATTGACATAGTCAATGACCACTTCATCTTCCATCTCCAAAATGGTAGTTATCTTCCGAGTGATCCATGGTTTTAAGACATCTAGCTTCACTTTAGACATATCCACCTACATCACAGAATTTTAGAAATAAATAAGACATTATTATTTATTTTAGTTTAATTAGAAGATTTCACAAAAGGTTTACCTGCTGTGTCAAGCAATCCTTAAATTTTGTTTGCTTTATCAGCTTCTTTTCCTTGTCACAAAAGCGTGAATCCTGTTCAGTACTTGTTCCCTTTTGAAAAAAAAACTTAGTACATACCATTAGTTACAATGTGGTAACTTATAGGGCACATAAATAGTAGTAACGATTAATTAATGTTGACTGTTCAGAAGCTTTTAAATATGATTTGTTAAATGCACCCAGTGTGCCTAAAATTAAGTATGTATATGTTTAATTTGATAAGTATTTTATTCAAACTTTTTAACATTCCTGAGCTGCCACAGTACCAAACATTAACGAATACTAAAGAGCTCACCTACCGTGTACATTATCATCATGAGCGATCAATAATTAATATTACGAACAACTAAATTTGTTCGAGGATGTGACCCTTTAATATCGGGGGTATTTAGCATCCGCAAATTTTGGCAAATTATCCAGACAACCATAAATTTTTAAACTAGCACAAATGTATAGTATTAAGTTCATTTGGTATATATAAATAAGCTTTATCAGTTAAAACAATTCTTAGTTTACGGTTATTATATATCGTTTTGCATCACACAAACAAACCAACCACTTTCCGGTATAAGGGTGCGGCCAGAGTGCACTCAGATTCAGAGTCAGATTCAGATTCTGAAAACAAGCGCGAGAAATAAACAGTGTAGTCTAAGCAGGTTGCCTGCTTTTTCTCGCGCTTTGTTTTCTGAGTCTGAATCTGAATCAGGAGTGCAATCTGGCCGTACCCTTCGACTACACTGTTTATTTCTCGCGCTTGTTTTCAGAATCTGAATCTGACTCTGAATCTGAGTGCACTCTGGCCGCACCCTAATAAACTACTCTTCAGAAACAAACTACTTTTTTTTTAATTAGCAAATGACATAGCCAGGATACAAGTCCATAAAGCCGAACACATAGTACAAATACAAACTTAAATAAAATACAAACGTGAGATGCGTGAAACAGATTACTGACAACTTAAATTTTGACAATGACATTGACAGCGATAGAAGGATAGAAAGTAAACAATGGAATAAAAATAACCTAAAGAAAAACAAATAACATATTCGTTTTGTCTTATTCTATATCTTATCTACAGTATTTACAATATATTTATAAATTGGTTTTAAAATAGCTTGGGTTGGAGAGAAAATCTTCAATGCGGCGGGGAAAACAAGTGCTCTGGTCTTCTGATTGAATATCTTGCAACTCGCAAATTAGTAGTAGACGTGGGATGTTAAATTCAGGACATGAGAAAATTACGTGATTTATGTCTGAATGCGGAGTCTGGCAATATCTGCATTTGTCGTTCGACAAAATTTTAAGCCTGTGCAAGTGAGTTGGAACCAAACAGTGTCCAAAGCGCAGCCTGTTCATAGTTGTAATAAATTTTCTCGACTCACATATTGCATTATTATACCATGGCTTGTTTGGCAAACTTTTCTGTATTGTTGCGTACCATTTCCCTTTGGAATTGTTCCAGTGGTTCCAATAGTTAATCCACAAATGTTTAATTTCATCTTTCACTGATGATAAGTGATCTGTGTATGGTATTGGAAAGGTAGAGTGATTCTCTAGGTTATTTGCAATCAATGCTTTATCCACAATCTCATTTCCAGCAATGCCTCTGTGGGAGGGAACCCATAAAAATTGCACTTCTCTCTTCTGTATATACAAGTCATATAAAAGGTCTCTTATTTTATATATAATATGATTTACCTTAGAATCTAGCCTATTACTTTCTAATGCTAATAAAACACTTTTAGAATCAGATATGACAAGAAAATTATGTACATTATTTACAAAAGAGTCTGCTTTTAAAATATAGCATAAAGCTTGAGAGCTTATTTGATGAATTGGTAGTCAGTGCTCCAGAGATGGTTTCTGCTGCAACCAATAACCAACCAATTGTAACAATAGATCTTACATCTAATGACAGTAGAAATAACAAATTGTGGGTTGTTGGATGTAATAGAAACAAATTAAAGAAATATGTAAAAATGTAGATATATAAAAATAACTCAAAAGTTAATTAAAAACCAAAAATTCTTTATAAAAAATGTTAAATTAAACAGGGAGAGATTACAGTTAATTGATAAATTGGACATTTATTCTGCAAAATATAATAACATTTGTTTAAATACTCAAATTTTACAAAGTAAAATAGATAAACTGCAAGATTGTCTCTCAAGTGTAACCAAAAAATATGAATTAGCATAATGTGAAATGAAGGAACACATGCAGGCCATGAATGAGTTAATTGATTTATGTAATTACAATAATGAAAGATTTAATTCATTAACTAACAATCACACTTGTGATTGCAAACAGTTGGGAACTCAATCATCGCTCAATTGTGACTCCTCCACTTCACAACAAAAGTCTATATCTGTTGATTCCCAACATCAGCCAATTGGTACATACTTGACGCCAGTGAAAGTAACTCACTCAAGAAATGCATCTTTAGGTAATAAAAATAACAATATTATAATGTTTAGTGATGAAATTGGGAAGAATATGGGCCCTCTTTTATCTAAAATGGGACATTCAATAACAAATTACTGTATGCCTGGTACCTCTTATAATGATATTGTAGAAAAGGTAAGTAAGCATAGCTACAGTAAATGCCACACCTTGTTGTTTTTTATAGGAAATAGAGGCAATTTGAATTAATAAAAGTTATTTTATTAATAAAATATGTGACAGATTTAAATGCATTAAATGTGGAAAAAATTGTATTATTCACATTGCCCTACTGCAACAGTCTACCAAAGGAGGAAAATTTGTTAAGATACAAATTAAATATGCTTTTGTATGCAATTTGTAAAAGCAATAAATATCATTTGATTGACTGTAACAATTATGTTAGAAATTTTTATTTGACGAAAGATAAATATTATCTTTCCAATTATAATAAAAGACAGGTAGCTAAGTCGCTATCATATTTCTTATATAAAGCTACAGTTACACATGCTCTAAAATAGCATGCTAAAAGCATGCTATTGAGTATGCTCAATATGAGCAGTTTACATTTGCTAGCAATAGGCATGCTAGTTTTAAGTATGCTCCTGAATTAGCATGCTCAAAGCAAACACTCCAATACACATGCCATTTTATAGCATGCTCTCTCACTCTCTGTCAGTTCAAACAAAGCCATGGACAATCAAACAGCTATCCGTATGGAGCTGAATAAGATCATCCTTTTGCTGGCGATGCAATGCATCCAGAAGCTTATATCAGCTCGGCAAAAAAAGAAAAGAAAGAGAAAGATTTGGGTTCGTGATTGGATATCTAGAAGATTTATTTCGATCAACATTATTTTTATACTGCGGTATGCAGGGATTCCACAAGCACTCGTGATTTCGGTATAAATTTACAAATTTGAGCGTATTTTTTAGGCGCGTTATGAAAAAATGATGAGTGTGAAATTTTAAGATGCGCGTGCATCACTGTAACACAAAAAATTAACAGCATGAAGTTGGTCGCTAAAGCGATGCGAACGATAATGCTGTTACTTTTGTGTTTACCGCACATTAAGAAAATCTACCAACAAAATAGAAATAGAATCTCTATTTTGTGGGTGCTAACGACTGCATTGTGAAGGCCTATCAAAAGTATTTATTAATCTGGAACAACGGAACCAAAGCGCGGTTCAGGAGACTACAGCGCCATCTCTTGACCATTGGTGTAGTAGAACCAAAAACCACATCTTTATTTTTTCGTCGCCCCAGCGAGACATTTTGCGTGAAGATGGTGCACACGCACCTGTTGCGAACGACTGATCGATACTAGCATGCTCAATAGGCAAACCTGTTCACACGCGCTAAAAGCACGCCCCCCTCCACCCGCGCTGCAGGTAGCATGCCCAAAAATCGCACGACCGTTGATTTTTGAGCAAACTCAAAATGAGCATACTCATTATTAGCAATGTTTCGACACACATACTACTAAGTAGCAATTGCTCAATAGTGGCATGCTTTCGTGCTAGTAATCAGCATGTGTAACTGTAGCTTAACTTTAGTGTAATTACTGATTGTCATGTCAATAGAATATTGCTCAATAGGAGCAAGTTGTTTAGCCAAATTCTTGGATGACTTAAGCTACAGTTACACATGCTCTAAAATAGCATGCTATTGAGTATGCTCAATATGAGCATGCTTATGAGCAGTTTACATTTGCTAGCAATAGGCATGCTAGTTTTAAGTATGCTCCTGAATTAGCATGCTCAAAGCAAACACTCCAATACACATGCCATTTTATAGCATGCTCTCTCACTCTCTGTCAGTTCAAACAAAGCCATGGACAATCAAACAGCTATCCGTATGGAGCTGAATAAGATCATACTTTTGCTGGCGATGCAACGCATCCAGAAGCTTATATCAGCTCGGCAAAAAAAGAAAAGAAAGAAAAAGATTTGGGTTCGTGATTGGATATCTAGAAGATTTATTTCGATCAACATTATTTTTATACTGCGGTATGCGGGGATTCCACAAGCACTCGTGATTTCGGTATAAATTTACAAATTTGAGCGTTTTTTCGTCGCCCCAGCGAGACATTTTACGTGAAGATGGTGCACACGCACCTGTTGCGAACGACTGATCGATACTAGCATGCTCAATAGGCAAACCTGTTCACACGCGCTAAAAGCACGCCCCCCTCCACCCGCGCTGCAGGTAGCATGCCCAAAAATCGCACGACCGTTGATTTTTGAGCAAACTCAAAATGAGCATACTCATTATTAGCAATGTTTCGACACACATACTACTAAGTAGCAATTGCTCAATAGTGGCATGCTTTCGTGCTAGTAATCAGCATGTGTAACTGTAGCTTAACTTTAGTGTAATTACTGATTGTCATGTCAATAGAATATTGCTCAATAGGAGCAAGTTGTTTAGCCAAATTCTTGGATGACTTAAGCTACAGTTACACATGCTCTAAAATAGCATGCTATTGAGTATGCTCAATATGAGCATGCTTATGAGCAGTTTACATTTGCTAGCAATAGGCATGCTAGTTTTAAGTATGCTCCTGAATTAGCATGCTCAAAGCAAACACTCCAATACACATGCCATTTTATAGCATGCTCTCTCACTCTCTGTCAGTTCAAACAAAGCCATGGACAATCAAACAGCTATCCGTATGGAGCTGAATAAGATCATACTTTTGCTGGCGATGCAACGCATCCAGAAGCTTATATCAGCTCGGCAAAAAAAGAAAAGAAAGAAAAAGATTTGGGTTCGTGATTGGATATCTAGAAGATTTATTTCGATCAACATTATTTTTATACTGCGGTATGCGGGGATTCCACAAGCACTCGTGATTTCGGTATAAATTTACAAATTTGAGCGTTTTTTCGTCGCCCCAGCGAGACATTTTACGTGAAGATGGTGCACACGCACCTGTTGCGAACGACTGATCGATACTAGCATGCTCAATAGGCAAACCTGTTCACACGCGCTAAAAGCACGCCCCCCTCCACCCGCGCTGCAGGTAGCATGCCCAAAAATCGCACGACCGTTGATTTTTGAGCAAACTCAAAATGAGCATACTCATTATTAGCAATGTTTCGACACACATACTACTAAGTAGCAATTGCTCAGTAGTGGCATGCTTTCGTGCTAGTAATCAGCATGTGTAACTGTAGCTTTATTCTACTGAAACCACCCAAAATCATAATAAATATTTAAATTAACCAATCAGACAAAAGATAATTCTTCTTGCACATTAAATAATAATGTAAATAAAAATAATTGTTTTGTTAATACAGATAAAAAAAACCCATCCAAAAACATTGCAAAAAATGTAAGTTTTATCAACCTGGTGCATCTTAATATACAAGGAATGATGGGTAAAGACTTAGAAATTGAATTATTCATGAATTGTAATAATATAGATATTTATTGTATTACAGAACACTGGCTTAAAAGTTGTCAGAATATATTTAATTTTAATAATCATCAGGTTGGTAGTTTGTTCAATCGAGAAAATGCAATTCGCGGTGGCTCTTTAATATTATTGAATAAAAAATTAAAATTTAAGGAACGAAGAGATATTGTGAGCCTCTCGGTTGAGCGAACAATAGAAATTGCCTGCATGGAACTGGACCGGCTTGTTGTATTGAGCGTACACCTTAGAGCATTAATTATACCAGGAGGGGGCATGGACGGGCGTACCCCTCCGCCAAAACAATCATGGCCAGTGGCCATGATCGTTATATAAAACTAGTGCACGCGCGGTCTGCGACCATTTTCAATATTTCGTGTTACGAGTCAGAGCTCCTACAAAAATGGTGAATTGTGCTGTTTTATTGTGCAAAAACTGTTCTGCCACAATAAATAAGCTGGAACATGGTGTTACTTATCATACGTAAGTATTTTTATTGAATGAAAACTCAGAATTTACGAATAATATTAAATTTAATTTAAAAGCCGTTACGACGAATGAATGACATCAAAAATTAGGTAGCCAGCAATAGTGATGAGACACAAAGAATGAATGTATGGAACTTTTGATAACTGTCTTTGATTTTTGTTAAGTCGATTTGTTTATAATAAATAGCTTATAGACAAAGTGAATATATTTTGGAAGGATTCTATAAAAAACATGGTTAATAAACAAGACTACATCTAACATAATTAACCAAAGACAAGAAAGGTATACTGATTTAAACTTTATATTTTAGAAGAAGTTTAATACATTTCTATTATTTTTAGAGACTAAAAAAATGAGGATCTGTTTGTTTGTCTATCAGTTTCTTTAATAATGGGAAAAAAAAATTATGTAAACTGGCGTATAGATAGGTACATTTCTATGTACCTAATCAAATTAAGAAGTTAGTTAGCTAACTAACTTCTTGCCCAGCTGGGCAACATACCTAATAACTATCTACAAGATGGTCTACTAATGTGGGCACATTAAGCTACTTTTATGACATTGGTAATAGGTATAATTGAAGAATAACTTTTTAAATAACTCTACAACAAAAGACACGGAGCGCATGATTTTATTTAGTTGGCACAGTTATTATTATATTTCCGCGAAAAAAAGGTGGTGCTTGGTGAATATTGAACGTATATTCATGGGTGGTTAAATCAGATTTCTTTGATTAGACAGATCATGTCATGTATTTGTTGTTGTTTTTTTAGATTTCCGAAAGATCACGATCTTAGAGAAAAGTGGATATTATTTTGTAATCACAAAGAATCTTGGGTGCCCAAACGTAATAGTGTTATTAGTTCCACTCATTTTACCGAGGAAAGTTTTGAAGCACTATCAAATAAAAAAAGGAAATTGGTTGTTGGTACAATACCTTCTTTAAGATCTTGTCATAATACGGTACACCATGCTTTCTTTTTTTTTAATAATAGCGCCAATGTTACTTATTTGATGATACTTATTATAACAATCTATACTAATATTATTAAACTTAAGAATAAGTTTGTATTTTTTATACATTTTCATTGTTTTTAATTTAAAAAGTATATTATTGTTCGATAGTTCTTTTATCGAAGAAGGCTAAACGCTTTCATGCTACTACTAATAGGAACTACGGGGAATTTTTTTTTGAGAAAAAGTAAGTAACTAAGTTGTGTGACGGCCATAAGCGGTTAAATCGGAACTAATTGACTTACGGGTTAGTTTATTTGATGTATTAGTAAGTAATGTAGGATGCTCACAGTATCATACTATAATTTAAGATGGAACCACATATAAAAATAAATATAATGGATATTCCCAATATCACAAATGCATAAGTACTTAAAACCTCTAGTACCTCTGCTGTCATACCACCAAAAGTGATGATCCCATCTTAGCAATTGATTGTAATTTAAATTAATGTTTTTGGAATGGCCAGCAACTTTATATTAGTTTTTTTTATTGTGAACAGTAGCAAAATATATGTTTTAATAATTAATATTGTTTTAGAATGTTAAAAAAACCATTTGGAATATGTGTCAC